TTAGGGTTTAGGGTTTCGGGAGGTGGAAGACCGAACGTCCAAAACCCTAGAATCCCAAAGAACTGTAGAACCCTCAACCCGAATGCGCTAAAAATCCTTTCTAGAACCTCTGCAGAACCCTGGTAGGAAACCTTATAACTCCCTAAACCCTAAACCCTCGACCCTAAACCCTGAACCCTAAACCCTCAACCCTCTCGACTGTTTGCTCTGGCAGGTTTCGCTGGTGCTTTCTTCACAACGAAGGAGCAAGGCTCTGACGGTTTTTTTGGGGTTTAGGGTTGCATAGGGTTTTGGGGTTTAGGGTTGCATAGGGTTTTGGGGTTTAGGGTTGCGTAGGGTTTTGGGGTTTGGGGTTGCATGGGGTTTAGGGGTTTGGGGTTGCATAGGGTTTAGGGTTCAGAGCTGCCCCTCTGGCGTGAGAGGCGAACATACCCTCCTTTAGACGGAAACGACAGGCTTCCCCATGCTGTTCTACCTCGGCTACGTGCCGTTCCTGCTCGTGAACAAGGCCATTGAGGTGTACTACCTCTTTCGCTGGAAGGCGTTGGTCTGGCTCTCAGCCCTAAGTTGCCCGTGGAGGAAGGTTTAGGGTTTCGGGTTCAGGGTTTAGGGTTTAGGGTTTAGGGCTTAGGGTTTAGGGTTCAGGGTTAAAAGGGCAAGCTCAAGGAGAGGCCGCAATTGTCCTGACGTCCAAAGCCTTTGGGATCTGAACCCAACTTCTGGCCCTCGTAAAGGGGACCTTATTGAGAGGGTCTATATCCCCAAGATTCCTCCTAATCCTTTCTCCCCGGTTTAGGGTTTAGGGTAACTTTTCGGACCGACCCCTTTTCTGCACGAGGACCCGGTCGCGGCAGAGATCCAGAAGGAGGGCCCTGGGTGCTTTGGTTTCTTTTCTCTTCTGACTAAAACCCAAAAACCCTAAACCCTCAACCCTAAAATCCTAAAACCCTAAGCCCACGACCCGAAACCCGTTTTGGGTTCGGGATTCTACGGATTTTTTGTGGCTTGGGCTTGGGGTGTCGGAGTTGGGTCGTTTGGGACTAGAACCGGGAGGTCATCGATGTTGTTATCCCTAATGCAGACCCCTGATTCAAAGCCTTTGTTTAGGATACAGGCTATATTCGGATCATTTTTGAGATAGGAGGTTTTTTTTTTATGAATCAGGGGTCTACAAACATGTAGAAGCCTGAATAAGTACAGAAGAGCTTCTGTGGGTTCCATGACGCAACTGTCGTCTGATACACACCAAAGCCCGGCCCTGAACCCTGAGCCCTAAACCCTAAGATGCTAACCCCAAACCCGAGATTGTCAAAACCCAGCCCTAAATCCCAAGCTAAAAACCTCAACCTAAACCCTAAACCCTAAATCCCAAACCCGAAACCCCCAAAATCCCAGGCCCCAAACCCCAAAACCCTAAAGCTCACCCTGGTTCCAGGAGCAGCTAGCCGGCTGCAGCCTGAAGCACCCGGTGCCCAACTCAAATATGATCTTCTCGGTCATTCGTAATAGTAGTTTAGGGTTTGGGGCTTTTAGGGTTTAGGGTTTGGGGTTTTTAGGGTTTAGGGTTTAGGGTTTAGTATGCACTCCTCAGTTCCAAGGTTTGAAGTATGGGCCGCTAAGACGGACCCTTAGGGGAGTTTGAGGGTCGCTGGGTTCAACGTTAGATTAGTCATAGTATGCACTTGTAGGCCCGCTAAAGCTATATTATGCTTTTAGCAACAGTATCCCTTTTAAACTTTACTATATGAATCATCAGCCAAAGTATACCCCTATGGCCCCTTGAAAACTTTATCATAACACAAACGCAAATAAACTTAGACGAAACCCTAAACCTTTCTAGATGAGCTTGACGCACCATCATTTCCAATAATATTCCATGTGCTTTGCAGTCTTTTGTCATTAGCCTAACATTGGTCCATTGCTTCACTACTACACACAATCGCATATGCAACACCAAGCCGTATTGCGAGATAAATCCCGGTATAGCACAGCCGTTACATTAAGATTTTATGTATATTTGTCGAAAGAACAGTGTATAAATTCCGTCAACAGCAGCTGTTCGTAGCAGTTCGTGACCCACTTTCATAATTGCAGGTATCGGTATGTGTACTGGGCTTATAGTCGTCTTACTGCTTCATACAATCGTATATGCAACACCAAGCCGTATTGCCAGATAAATGCCGGTATAGCTGTAAGCCTAAAGCCATTGCATCAAAGTTTTCAGTGTTTGTCAAAAGAGCAGTAACTTTCAGCAACGGCAGCTATTCGTAGCAGTTCGTGTATTGGAGTTATAATAGTCATACACCTACAAGCCTATCCAATCAGTCATACCTAAATTACGAATACATTCTGCTATGCAAGAATTATCGTATCAAGCGTAGTCCGTGTATTGTTAGTATTACACTTACCAATGTTATAGTTACCATTACCAATATCCCGGCTACTGTTGTTAGAGTTGCCGTTCTGCTTCCTTCAGTATTACTAACCCAGTGAACACCCTGTACCTCCTCATTTCTTATTTGTTCCAAATTACATTTTTCTGGTTAATCATTCCCGTGCGTTTAGCTCTTCATAATCGGTGCATTGTTCAACAGTTGGTGATCACATTATTTCAGGCCAACCACACATGATCATTTACATGTATCAGTTGTTGAGTCCTGTGTTTATTCTGATTAGTATGTATCTCTCAGTCCCTGAATATTCACACGTGTGCTTTAATGGAACGATGGGCTAGTCCGGTAACACATTGAAGTTGGAGGATTGAACTTGTTGAAAAATATTTCAATATGTGGCTACTTGATAAATTTGGTAAGCAGGTTGGTTCTTAATATCTTATCCCTACACTAACAAACATCTACATGCTTGTTCTGAGTTTAGTTCATCTGAAGTCTGTGCATGAGTTACAATAAGTCATGTCCATTCCTTCGTTGGTCGAACTTAGTGTTGTCTAAAACCACTGATGACCATTAAACAACCATGTATGCTACAATTGTGTTGTAGACTTCTGTTATCGTACTGATCAGAGGTCTGTACTGTAAGCACCTGTTAAAGCATACCAACATGAAAGCACAACAATCAGGGACCCCCCCCATGAAAACACAAAGCACAATTAAGTCTATATCTTGCATATTTATTTTGCGACGTGCGTATCTCAAACCAGCATATTGGGTTTGCTGTTTTGTCGGAAAGCTGCTTGAATTGTGCGGTCGTGATTTTCGATGAGTTGGAATTTTCTCATAGCGAAAGCTTCAATCGTAGACGAAGACGAAAGCTCCGTGCTTAATAACTGACTACAACAATCAGTGAACGAATCTTCCCATAGTAACATCTTCACGTAGATATTACAGGACAAAAGGCAGAAGGCCATCAAGTGTTTGGCAATCATTTCGCATAAAGACTCGCCAAATGGATGTTTGATTTTTCCATTGAGGTTAAGTGCAAGCTGCGGGTCTTAAACAAGCCCAGGTTGAATAAACAGTTGACACAACGACAGGCTCGAGACATAAATTGAGATATTCAACCCAATGAGAGCGACCATAAGCTTCTTCTTCGAATTTAGACAATTCTATATTTTCCCTGCGATGGTCTGTCGCCGGGGGGGGCGGTGATGCGGTGAGCATATATATATATATACATACAGTATACATACTTCTGTATGCCATATATGTATACACATATAATAGTCGACTAATCAAAAAATAATATATATATATATACACACGCACATCTAAGAATGCACACACATATTCGTATTCATTTACTTAGTAGTTAGATATGTACATCTTTGTACTCTACGGTCTCTTCCAACCAGATCCGGGTCGCAAGCTGACGGATCTTCCGGCTATGCTTTAGGGCTTAGGGTTTAGGGTTTAGGACTTAGGGCTTAGGGTTTAGGGCTTAGGGTTTAGGCTTTAGGACTTCGGGTTTAGGCTTTAGGGCTTCGGGTTTAGGCTTTAGGGCTTCGGGTTTAGGCTTTAGGGCTTAGGGTTTAGGCTTTAGGGCTTTGGGTTTAGGGCTTAGGGTTCAGGCTTTGGTAACTGGGGTCCCTGATTTCGGCTTGGTTCAGGGGTGAAGGGTTTAGCTCACACGGGTGCTCTAAGGCTTTTAGAAAGGTTCGGGGGTTTCTTAACATGTGGGCGTCTCTCATTGTTTTGGGGGTCCTTCTGAGCCCTAAACCCTAAACGCTAAACCCTAAACCCTAAACCCTACCATTCGACCAGGGGTCCGATTGAAACTCCCAGGTCATGCTGATTTACTATGGCGTGATGGAGCATCTGGCACCTTGGCGCGAAAGACCTCACAGCCTCCGCAAAAGGAATCTAGTACTTTTTAGTAACCGCCGCTCTAGTAACTCTTAGAGTTACCCTGTTACATCACCCAATAAGTAGCCAACTTTAGCAGGCTGGGACAAGAAGGGGGAAGCCTCTGTCCAGGAGTGAGCCCAGATTTCACCGCAGACGCAGAGGTTGCGGCCTTTCCAGACCGGCGCCCTCATAGGTGGATAACCCAAGCCTGGACCCTAAACCCTAAACCCTAAACCCCAAACCCTGAAACGAACAGAGTCGGGATCTCTGGGCAGAGTCGATTCTGAGGATCTCTTCACAGATGTAGTCTTCACAGCGACGTCCTACGCGGCCGGCTACAAGACGCTGGCCGCCGTTAGTGCGGCCCTTCGGCGGTAACTGACAGGGGCAGCGCTCAGGGAACATGGGGTGTTGTAGAGCTTGTCAGGCCGACAGGGCTGAGGCTTTTTGCGCACCATTAAACGGAACACCAAAACTCTGAAATTGTGAATTACAGTATTTGCAGCCGTAAACACTCACAAGCTGGTCTGTCTCTCGCGAAGAAAAGAAGGAAACAGGAAGGGGGGGGGGTTCAGGTTTAGGATGAACCGGAATCGTGACATGAAGGGGCGTGTTTAAGATATATAGTGAACCGGGATCGCCAAAAGAGGTGGCATGTTGAAGGTATATGATGTACCGGGAATCGCCAAATGAGGAGACGTGTTTAAGAAAAATGAGAACCGGAATCACCAAAATGGGGGGCTTGTCAAAGATACATGATGAACCGGAATCACCAAATGGGGGGACATGTTTAAGATATATGCTGAACCGGAATCGCCAAATCAGGGTGCGTGTTTAAGATGTATGCTGAACCAGAATCGCCAAAATACGGGGCGTGTTTACAAGGTATGCTGAACCGGAATCGCGAAATCAGGGGGTGTGTCTGAGATCTATGATGAACCGGAATCGTCGAAAGAGGGGCACGTTCAAGGTATATGATCAACCAGCATCCCCAATTTTTGGGGGCGTGTTTAACAAATGGGGGGGGTGTCTCTAAGATATATGATGAACCGGAATCGCCAAACGAGGGGACGTGTTTAAGGTATATGATGGGCCGGCATTGCCACTGAAATGACGTAGAAGGCTACTGCCGGTACCACTGCGATGCGACCCCAAGCAGTCCTCACCGCGTTTCCCTGTTCGATTGTTTTGATCCCAACTCGGTTTTGTTTTGATCCGAAATTGGAAACGTTGAGTATACCACCCGAAAAGTTTTGATATGTTGATTGTTTTTGATCCCAGTTTTAATCTGTTTATGATCTCAGACCGACCCCTTGTTTTAATTTTATCAGCGAGCCTCAGCGTTCCCGCTGCCCCACAACCCTCAACCCATCTCGACTCTCAAACGCTGGTGCCCGGCAGAACCAGGTTTCATTGATTACCGCGGTGGTGGTGCAGCTGACTTGCTCCGGCGCTTCCGGTCTGGCTATGGTGGCGGCTTCGGCTCAAGGTAGGGTCTGCAAAGCAGCAGCTCCTTGAGCCCTAAACCCCTCCGAGCCCTGGAGCTCGAACATTATGCGGTCTGTTGGGCCCTTGAAAAGAACTTCCTGCGACAGTCGCCGTAGTTCAGGAAGAACAGCAGGAATGTGCATCACTTTCATCTATCGAACGGTGCTCGCACTACGTACTTCTGAACATGTGCGGGCAGGCATGTAGATATGTATGCATGCGTGCATGTACGTATGTACTCCATCCATCCATCCATCAATCCATCCATCCATCCATCCATCCATCCATCCATCCATCCATCCATCCATCCATCCATCCATCCCTCCATGCATGCATGCATGCATGCATGCATGCATGCATGCATGCATGCATACATCCGTACATCCGTTCATCCATAAATCCGTACAGCCATGCGCACATCCAAACATCCATACGACAAGCATTCATGCACACAACCATGCATACGTGCAGGCAGGCATGCATACATTCCCTCTCTCTCTCTCTCTATACGCACCCACAGACACGTACAGGTTTGACTTGTGCGCATGCATGGTTCGTGGTCTGTATGCTTATGATCCGAAATTTAGCCCTGACCTGAGGGGTGGCTGAGGTTAAGGGCCGCAATGTCTACATCCCGCTCGTCCAGGTGACCCCAACGGTTTTAGCGAGGTTGGAAAAGTCTTCGAACAGTTCAGTGTTCAGGATTTCTGGCTTCAGGTTTTTGGGTTTCAGGGTTCAGGGTTTAGATTTCAAGGTTCAGGGTTTAGATTTCAAGGTTCAGGGTTTCGATTTCAAGGTTCAGGGTTTAGATTTCAAGGTTCAGGGTTTTCGGGGCGGGTTTTCGGGGGGTTCCTTGGCCTGGCTTCGAGAGAAGCCCTGGGGGCAAGAGAGGGTTTAGGGTTTAAAGGGTTTAGGGGCT